CAGGTCCCGAGATCCTGGTATCTTCCTAAAGTTGTCAGGTGAGCTTCTTGTCTTTCCTCTCTGTCTGGGGCTTTGGCTGCCCCTCGCTGTCCTCTCATGCCTGAAGGCAATTAGTCACTGCCCTGCCACCAGCTTTATGCCAGTTTTGGCAGGCTAATCACCTGATCTTGTCTGGGGTGTGTAATTTTCTCCACCCGGCAGGGTTCATCATTGGGTCAGTCTTGCCTGACCTAGCCTAAGTAACAGGGCTCCTGCGTGAGTCCCTGTTACAGAGAGCACTGGATTTGCAGCTGAATAAAGGCTTTTATCTGTGTCTCAGCAAAAGCTGCTGACCACAAGACAAAATGATATATTAAAAGTAACATTGCAAATACTTAGGCAAGCAGTTGCCTAACAATGGGGTAGTGTGTAGGATATATGGTGTAAGAAGAACAAGATGCAGCCCACCAGCTATCATCAGGAGATAAAGCAGAAGCAAAACCTTGGAGATGAAGAAGGAGTCAACAAAAAACCAGAAAGAACCAGCAAGTGACTGGAGGAAGTGGAGGTCAAAGTCTTATGCATGCGCTCTTAGCAGAGAGGCATGTAAATGTGTTAAATGCACAGGTAATTCCATGTTAATGAAGTAAACAGTAAACAGAGGTGGAGCTTGAGAGAGGAGGAGATATGGGTGGAACCAAAGAAGGGGCAAAGGTGAAATAAAAGTTAATGAACATGAATCAAAGTGTATAAAATGTGTAAAGAACTAATGTTCACTGATGCTCCCTGGTTTCACAGGCTGTGTGTCTGTGAGGGAGCTCGCCCGAAGCTATCTCCATTTTGAATAAAGCTGTTGTGAGCAATGTGTGCTGGTGATTGCTCCCTGCTTGCTCTGGGTAATGAGTAACAGGAGCCATCAGCAATTGGATCATCGTCTCCCTAGTCAGTGGGTGCTGCATGGAGTCGGAGTCTAACGGTAAGGTGCTCCCCATGCTTGCTGACTAAGCTCCTTCTAGAGCCTCCTCCCATCTTAAAGTAACAGATATGCCCAGTGCCCATAACAGTCACAGAGGGTTCCCTTGCAGGAAGGGAGAGTGTCTACCCTGGGATGCTGGAGGACCTGGACAAACACTATCACCCTATGTGTGATATTCCACATGCTCAAATTAAAGTTTGAGAGAAACCAGCTACAAAAGTGTTCAACATTTTTTCAAGGAACACTTTTGTGGCTGGTTGCTCATTTTTATTATGTGATAATTAGTTTGCATGTGCAGCATCTCTAAGTTTCTGGTGCAATTAACTAGTTAATACAATAAATGTAATGTGCATCAGGCCTAAATTTAAACACTGATTAAAAAGCACAAATTATTCCAACTGTAGAGCACAAGAACAATCTCTCACTTCCCCTTTACCCTCCTCAATGGACTGAATCCAAAAGCTTGGATACTGGTTTCTCTGTCTACTCTTGTCTCCAGAATGGGGCAGATTCGTGGCTCTTATTAGGAACGAAAGTTTTCAATGGAACACAGATAGGGTTTTTTTCCCATGCTAAGATTTACAGTTCTATTACAATAAGATTTTTTTTTTAGTATTGGGCTTCCAGGTTAGAAAGTAGACTCTTACTTTTAAATGGTCATCCAGAACAATGGTGACATTTTTTGAGGGGTAGGGGAGGGGACAGTTCGTAGTGGGAGTTGGTAATATCTCTTATTCAACAAACTGATTTGTTAGGAGAGATGGTAGACAAGCTTTCCCCATTAAGACAATTTATGCTTAAGGACTTTTGTAGCATCTCTCCCAACTCTTCATAGTTTCATAGTAGTTTGGGATCAGAAGGGACCTGAACAAATCATCTAGTCTGACCTCCCGCCACTGGCAGGAGCACACACTGGGATCACACGACCTCAGACAGGTGTTTGTCCAATTTCTTTCTGAATTTACCCAGGTAGGAGCGAGGACCACTGCCCTAGGAAGTTGGTTCCAGATCCTAGCCACCCTAACAGTGAAATAGTGCCTCCTAATCTCTAACCTGAACCTATTCTCCAGCAGCTTCTGGCCACTGTTCCTCGTCACCCCAGGTGCTTCAGTGGGGAATAGGGCCCTTCCTATTTGCTGCTGATCTCCCCTAATGAGTTTGTAGGCAGCCACCAAATCCCCCCTCAGCCTCCGCTTGCTGAGGCTGAACAGGTTCAGGTCCCTCAGCCTCTCCTCATAGGGCCTGCCCTGTTGCCCTTCAACCAAGCGGGTGGCCCTCCTCTGAAACCTCTCAAGGCAGGCCACATCCTTCTTAAAGTTCGATGTCCAGAACTGGACGCAGTGCTCCAGTTGAGGCCGGACCAATGTCATGTAGAGGGGGAGTATCACCTCTGGACCGGCTTGAGATGCATCTTTGGATGCACAACAAGGTGCAGTTGGCTTTGCTGGCTGCGATCTGGCATTGGCGGCTCATGTTCATCTTGGAGTCAATAATGACTCCAAGATCCCTTTCCGCCTCTGTGCTCACAAGGGGGGAGCTCCCCAGCTTGTCTGTATGCTGTGGATTCCTTCTCCCCAGGTGCAGCACCCTGCATTTATCTACATTGAACCCCATCCTATTACCATCCGCCCACTTCTGTAGTCTGTCTAAATCTCATTGCAGCCTCTCTTTTCCTTCAAGCGTGCCTACCTCTCCCCACATCTTGGTGTCATCGGCAAACTTGGACAACATGTTTTCCACCCCCTCGTCCAAGTCGTTGTTGAACAGGGTAGGCCCCAGGACCTAGCCCTGGGGGACCCCATTATTCACATCCCACCGGGTCGAGTACAACCTGTCCACCACCACTCTCTGGGTGTGCCCAATCAGCCAATTTTTGACCCATCCAACTGTGTAGGCATCAATGTCACAGTCACTCAATTTATTAATGAGAATGGGGTGAAAGACAGTGTCAAAGGCCTTCTTAAAGTCCAGAAGGACTATGTCCACAGCGACAACATCATCTAGGGATTTAGTTACCTGGTCATAAAAGGCCATCAGGTTGGTCTGGCAGGACCTGCCTTTGATGAACCCATGTTGATTTCTCCAGGGCATGATCTCTCCTGCTGGCCCCTCACAGATGTGATCCTTGGTAATTATTTCAAGGATTTTCCCCAAGACCAATGTGAGGCTTATGGGCCTATAGTTTCCTGGGTCCTCCTTTCTCCCTTTCTTATAAATGGGGAGAAGCTGGTCTCATAAAAATATTACTTTTGCTTCTCATATACTTCAGAGGGCTGACTTCAATGAGCGAGGGCTGGCTTCAATGAGTTGAAGAGATTGGTAGGAGAGGCACTGCAGTACCAGAGAGTAGAGGAACTAGGTGTCCATGATGAGTGGTCGTTCCTTAAGGAGACGATCCTCCGAGCCCAAGGGGTGACAGTCCCAACGCGAGTCAAAGGGGGCAAGAGTGCTCAAAAGCCACCTTGGCTTACCAAAGGCATTCAGGAATGTCTGAAATCCAAAAAGGAGGCATACATCCAGTGGAAGGGGGTGCTATCACCAAAGAGGAGTATACCTCCATAGCAAGAGTATGTAGGGAGGCTGTTAGGAAAGCTAAGGCGGAGATGGTACTAGGGCTAGCAACAAGGATCAAGGACAACAAACAGTCCTTTTTTTGAATGCATAGGGAGTAAAAAAGAAGGCACCAGGCAACGTGGGGCCCCTGCAGGATACGCTTGGCAATCTGGTGGTTGCACCAGATGAAAAAGCAGACCTTTTTAACAAATTCTTTGCCTCCATTTTTCTGAGCAGGGACTGGGACTTCTCCCCCACCGGGATACAGGACTGACTCAGGAATGACTCCGCCAGGCCTAGGGTCAGGAAGGACTGAGTTAGGGAACTTCTGGAGGGGCTGAATGTGTTCAAATCAGCATGTCCAAATGCTCTCCACCCCAGGGTGCTGAGAGAATTGGCAGGGGTCATCGCGAGGCCCCTGGCACGGCTTTACGAGCACTCGTGGTGCTCTGGCCAGGTGCCAGAAGACTAGAAGGCCAATGTGGTCCCCATCTTCAAAAAAGGGAGGAGGGAGGACCCAGGCAACTACAGGCCTGTTAGTCTTACTTCAGTCCTGGGGAAGCTCTTTGAAAAAATTATCCAGGAGCACATCTGGGAGGGACCTGCAGGAAGGAGGATGCTCAAGGGCAACCAGCATGGGTTCATTAAGGGCAGGTCCTGTCAGACCAACCTGATAGCCTTCTACGATCAGGTCACGAAATCATTGGACGCAGGTGTCGCGGTGGATGTAGTGTTTCTGGACTTTAGAAAGGCCTTTGACACTGTCTCCCACCCCATTCTCATTAAAAAGCTAGGTGACTGTGGCATTGATGACTACACAGTCAGATGGGTCGCGAATTGGCTAGGGGACCACACCCACCCCTGAGAGTGGTGGTGGATGGGTCATATTCGACATGGAGGGATGTGGGCAGAGTCCCCCAGAGCTCGGTCCTCGGGCCTGTATTGTTCAATTTCTTTATCAGCGACTTGGACGAGGGGGTGAAAAGCACCCTGCTCAAATTCGCTGACGATACCAAGTTTTGGGGCGAAGTGGGCATGCTAGAAGGGAGGGACAGGATACAACTGGACCTGAACAGGTTACAGGGGTGGGCAAATGTGAACAGGATGGGATTCAATACCAACAAGTGCAGGGTACTGCACTTGGTCAGGAAGAACCAGCAGCATACCTATAGGCTGGGGAACTCCCGGGCCTGGCTCTGCTCCGATCCCTGCCTGGTTCCAACAATATTTCCACCCCACCCCCATGGCCCTTCCCCCTCCCCCTACAGACTTTCAGGGGGGTACACACATTTAGCTCCACCACCCCCTCATTTTTTTTTCTCTCTCTGCCTATGCCACCCAAACCACCTGTCTCTGAGTTCACCAGCTGTGCCTGGCACAAGGTCATATATCCCATACACCAATGTAGAGGTAAAATTGTTCAGTACTATAGGAAGCAAAATGTCACAAATCTCAGGTAGGCAAAAATCAACAAACATACCAGAATAAGAAATGATGTAAGAAGTGATAACTTTATTATAATTAAAAATGAATATTAAAAACATAGTTTTCTTTTTTTTAGCCCTGACAGTTGATCATTATTGATTAAGCACCACTTGAGAGGCACAGAAGGATTAAATGCTAACACATAATTTGTATTACAATAGTGTCAGAATGCCACAGCCAGGGATTGACCCACCATTCACTGAGTTAGGCACTCTTCGCAATGAGAGCAGTATTCAAAAAGTGTTCAATCCTGAAGGATTTGCTGTAGTGTCAGTTCTTGTAAGATGCTCCTTGGTTTGCCATGGGGGCTGTGGACTATCAGATGACCAATGTCAACTACTCCAAATCATGATGCTATCACTTCCTGATAGTGGCCAGATAGGCAAACCAGAAGAGCGCAATGAGGTTCCCAAAGAGTACTCGAAACTGTGGAGAGACAACAACAACTGCCATAAGATAAAATGGTAGATGCTCTCAGTTCTCTAACTACAGTAACCGGGACAGCGTTTGGTCCTTTATGGAATGAACACTAAATGTTAGGGACCATCTTATTGCCAAAACGTCAGGGTCTTCTAGGGTTCATCTAGTCCCTCCACATTTGAAGAATTAATTTAGGCAACAGAGGTCTCAGTTTTACAGTTAACTGAAGAGTGGAAAAAGCCAAAAACCTTAAGTATCAGAATAACTGAGGGGGCTGCTGGCATGAAGAAAACTATTAAAGGAAAATAATCTGGAAGTCAATTCACAGAGGAGAGAGCATCTGAGCAGGCATAGACTTACCTGCATTGGGACATAATTGACATTAATAAACTGGAATGGGGTCCATACTTTCCAGTTCATTTTGAGTGCTGTCCAGTAGCCATTCTTTATCTTTTTAGCAAATGTAGAGAAGTCCTTCCCCTGGAGTACAAGAAACAATGATGATGGTTAGGGAGAGATCCTCCAGAAACCCAGGGGAAGACTAACAGAACCATGTAGAGGTCTAATCCATGTAGGTGATGAGTTTTATTTATTTACCAAGGTACAAATCTTAATGGGCTATATAGCCCAACAGGCTCCCACAACTCAATGATGCCTCCCATGTGGCAACAGCTAGGTACAATGCAAGGCTCTCAGTAGTGTAGCTCACTATCCATTTGTATATCTCCTTTCCTCCAAGCAGTTCTGGGAACAGCAAAACTGAGCACCATCTTTCTGCAGCTGGGAAAACCAACCCACAAAGTGACTGAATGTTCAGCCCAAGATCTCAGAGTGAGGGATAATCAGAGCCATCCGGGGGGGGGGGGGGCAAATTGGAGCAACTGCCCCAGGCCCTGTGCTTTGGGGGGCCCCATGGACAGTGTTGTACAGGCCCCACCAAGGGTGCTACCACTCCGTGCAGCTGTGCACATAACCGGCTTTGTGCTCTGACTGCTCACCACACCCCCACCCCCTCCCTCACTGGCCCCCGCACACACCTAGGGATGGCTCTAGGGATACTTTTGCTTTTCTACTCTTACTAATACTCAGCTCCGCAGGGTTTTTTGAAAAAAATTAGCATCCTTTCATGTACAAGAGATAGTGGGTATTGCAGCCTATGGCATAGATGGTTTGCAGTGTCTCATGTGACTGAATAGTCCAATCCATGATCTGTGGCAGTGGTTGCAAGTGTGTGTGTCATGGTTGGGTGGTTCAGGAGTTGCTTGCTTCCTATGGGCTCTTTTCTCTTCAAGCTGTTGGAGCCAGTTTCTGTTGTGGACATCGATGCCCTGGTGGAGATGATGACACCACTTGTTCTGATTGCTTGCCAAGTTTTCCCATTGGTCAGGATCGATTTCAAATGCCTGCATATCTCACTTGCATATTGTGGCAAAGCTTGGGACGTCCTGTTGCTCTTGTTCTCTCTGATAGTTCCCCAGATAGAATGTCCTTGGGTATATGTCCATCTTTCAATCTGGTCAGATGGTGTAGCCAGCGCAGATGTCTCTGTTTGAGTAGATTCATAGAGGTAGGGTCAGAAAGGACCTTGTACATCATCAAGTCCGACCCCCTGCCCTGGGCAGGAGAGAAAACCAGGCTCAAACGACCCCAGCCAGGTAGACGTCAAACCTCCTCTTAAAGACCCCCAGGGTAGGAGCCAGCACCACTTCCCTTGGAAGTTGGTTCCAGATCCTAGCTGCCCTGACTGTGAAGTAGTGCCTTCTAATGTCTAGTCTAAACCTACTCTCTAACAATCTGTGGCCGTTATTCCTTGTTACCCTGGGGGGCACTAGGGGGAACAGGGTCTCTCCCAAACCCTGCTGGTCCCCGCTAGTGAGTTTATAGACCGTCACCAGGTCCCCCCTCAGCCTTCTCTTGCAAAGGCTGAACAGGTTCAGGTCCCGTAGCCTCTCTTCATAGGGTCTACCCTGCTGTCCCCAGATCATGTGGGTGGCCCTCCTCTGGACCCTCTCAATGCTGTCCACATCCCTCCTGAAGTGCGGTGGCCAGAACTGAACACAATACTCCAGCTGCGGCCTGACCAGTGTCGCATAGAGGGGGAGGATCACCTCCTTGGCCCTGCTTGAGATGCATCTGTGGATGCACAACAAGGTACGGTTAGCCCTACTGACCATGACCTCGCATTGTCAGCCCATGTTCATCTGGAGTCAATAATGACTCCAAGATCTCTTTCTGCCACCGTGCTCTCAAGAAGGGAATTTCCCAGCTTATAAGTGTGCTGCTGGTTCCTACTGCCCAAGTACTTCCCTCCAGGTCGAAAAAGACCCATCCACTACTACCCTCTGAGTACGACCCTTCAGCTAATTTGCAATCCATCTTACTGTGTAGGCATCGATGCCAGAGTTACCTAGTTTTTTTATGAGAATGGGGTGCGAGACAGTGTCAAAGGCCTTGCTGAAGTCCAGAACGACTACATCCACTGCGACACCTGCATCCAATGCTTTTGTGACCTGATCATAGAAGGCAATCAGGTTGGTCTGACAAGACCTGCCCCTAATGAAACCGTGCTGGTTGCCCTTGAGCATCATCCCTGCTGCTGGCCCATCACAGATGTGCTCCTTGATGATCTTCTCAAAGAGTTTCCCCAGGATTGAGGTAAGACTAATGGGCCTATAGTTGCCTGGGTCCTCCCTATTCCCTATTTTGAAGATGGGGACCATGTTGGCTTTCTTCCAGTCATCTAGCACCTGTCCAGAGCACCACAAGTGCTCATAAAGCCGTGCCGGGGCCCCACAATAACCCCTGCCAATTCCTTCAACACCCTGGGGTGGAGAGCATCTGGACCTGCTGATTTTAACATGTCCAGCCCCTCCAGAAGCTCTCTAACCCAGTCCTCCCTGACCTTAGGCCTGGCGGCATTTCTCCCGAGTCCATCTGGAATCTTGGTCAGGGAGTCCCGGTCCCTGCACAAGAAAATGGAGGTGAAGAGTTTGTTAAAGAGGTCTGCTTCTTCCTCTGGTGCAACCACCAGATTGCCAAGCATATCCTGCAGGGGTTCCACATTACCCAGTGCCTTCTTCATTCTCCCTATATATTTAAAAAAGGACTTTTTATTATCTTTGATCTTTGATCAAGGAGTAGGAATGACTCTTGAGTAGGAAAGAGTAGGGCTGTCACACTTGGTAAATTTGCCCTTTGAAGAACCTCTGCATTGGTAACTTTATCTTGCCATTTGATGTTGAGTATGTGGCATAAACAGCACAGGTGGAAGCTGTTTAACTTTTTTTCTTGATGTGCATAAGTTGTCCATGGTTCCCCACCATACATGAGAGTGCTGAGCACGCAAGCCTTGTACACTAGCATTTTGGTCTTGATAGTAAGCTTTGAGTTGTTCCATGGTCTTTTAGTTAGTCTGCTGAAGCTGGCAGCAGCTTTTCTGATGCAAACATTAAATTCTTCATCCAGTGAGAGGTTGGTGGTCACTGTAGAACCTAGGTAGCTGAACTTCTGGGCTACTTCTAGCTGGTTCTTGTTTAGGATGATTGATGTATCTTGTGGAACTCCCTGTCCTAATACAGCAGTTTTCATTATGCTAATGCTGATAGCAAATGGCTGGCAAGCTCTTGAAAGGTGATCCATGAGTTCTTGTAGTAGGTTTTTCTCATGGGCTGAAAGGGCAACATCATCGGTGAATAGAAGCTCCCTCATAAGCACCTTTCTAAATTTAGTCTTTGCCTTGTCCTGACAGGGTGAAGAGTTTCCCATCTGATCCTGTGTGGAGGTACACTCCACTATCCATGCCTTTAAAAAGCAGTTCAGGAGTACTGAGAAGAAGATTCCAAAAAGTGTGGCAAAGAGCAACAAGCCTCTCTATCACATTAATAAACACATTAACAGTGTTGCAGCATCCAGATCTATGCTTTAACGCTTTCAGCTCAACTCCAAGCCCCATCAGCAATGGCCCTAATCTCCTCTGGCTATATTTCAAAAGCCAGAATTAGCATGGATCCTGGTCACAACTGATCATCTGCATTTCCCCAAGCATGACAGCATTTTCTGCTAGATAATGATGCACAATACAGCCTAGAGAGGGGTACCTACCTCAAGCAGATTCATGACAAAGAAGAAGAGCAGCAGGAACGCTGGAGCAATGATCAGGCGGTCGAGCAGAAGCCTCTTGATCATTGCAAAGGGGACAGTTGATGGGATCAGCTGTTCCAGGTACAGGTAGAAATAGTGACTGAGTGGCCCTGTGAACAGGAAGCTGACAAACCAAAAGGGCGTGGCTGGACTTCATCTTCCTTCTCCTTCAGCCTCCAAGCCATCCCCATCTTAAGTATTTAATTTTGCTGATAATACAAGAATGCCTTGCCATTCTACATGTATGTACTTATGTGGTTACAATGGACAGGGTGCCATCTCTTTCATACCTATACAGTGTCATGCAAAAGTTTTTTATTTTATTTTATTTTAGCAGTTCTTTACCACAGGAAAAAGTAGTCCACATGCTTAACAAAATGCCTAAGACTGTTTTAAAATTTCACAATTATATACCAATATAATTACCATATACAGGGTATTTTTTCTTCTCATAACAGTACTGTATCATGTAAAATTTTTTATTTTAACATCTTAAAGACTGAGGTGCTCAGATTTATTAATGAGCTTATCTTTTCACTCTGCTGTATGGCAGGCTCTTTTATTTCAATTTTATAGATGTGAAATGAAGGCACATAGAGACTGAATGGCTTGCTTTAATTGAGAAGTGACTAGGTCCTTGGTTTTGTAGTGCCTCATGCTACTATTCTAACTACTGGACCATTCTCCCCTGCACCAGGGCACTGAGGTCAGAAATGTCACAAAAGTAAGGGCAAAGCACTTTGCAAAGCAGCAAACCTTGTTGAATTCTGTATTACATGTGCTTCTCCAAAATCCACTGCTCACCTACCTTTTGGAGGGGAGCATCACCAGATTTGAACAGCTTTTGGCCCTCAAGAGTCATTCCTATCCTCATGCTATCAGAGTACCAGCCAAAGGCATGGTACCCTATGGGCCTTTGTACACACCACAAAATTGGCCCTTAAAGCAGCTGAAATGCCCTTTTGCACCACTTTAATGGTACTGCTGTTTGAATGCGCGGCAGCGTATTCTGCTTTATGGCATTGCTATTTGCACGCTTTGTGGAGTATTCCGCTTTAAATGACTTTGGTACGTAGCAAGATAAAACATCTCCAAGGTGTTCTAGTTTGCTACCTAACAAAGTGCAACAGTGCACAGGGCGCTGGAAGCTGACGTGCTTGGGGCTTAGCGGGCCCCACGCGGCTCAGGGGCTGTGAAAACTGGTGGCAGTCTGTGCAGACAGGCTCCACTGAACAAAACAAACAAACAAAAAAAAGTGACAAGCCTGAATTTTATTTTTTTCTCCCCAGAGCCTGCCTGCTTGCTCGAGTTGTGTTGGGGCCTGGTGCTTCCCTCTGCGGCTGTGGAGGGGAGGGGGTGCTTCCCCCTGTGGCTGTGGTGCCCCAAGACTGCCCAGGCCAGGTGCCAGTGGGCGGGTGCTGCCAGGGGGGCCCCCACACAGCTCAGAGACCACTCAGCCCACCGGCAGCTTGCCTCCCACCCCGTGACCAAAGAGGCATGTAAGGATCAGGCCCCCACCCTTGTACATGTCACAGGGATTTAGTTCAGTTTAGTTCTCACGGAATTGAAGCGGTGTTTTTAAAAACCCATCGTTTCAATTTAGGGTGAACTAAATGGACTTAAACCTCCATGGTGTGTGCAAGCAGCCTATGTGACTAGTGCCTGGGGTTCTTTCCTAAGCATCTGAAGTACAACACATTGCCAGAAGAGGGGATTTAGATATAATTTTATACTCTTCACAATTCTGATGGTTTCATATTTTCCCCAATTGGTGCTCAAGCCTCATTTATTCAAGACTATTTCTTCCAGCACTGCAATCTAAACTATGTAACCCAGTGGCCCCAACAAAGGAAGCAATTACATTTCCTGCTGTCTCTGCACCTACTTAACACTTTTCAACATACAATCCTAAAATTATGATGTGATGGGATAGTTCTCATGACTGGAGTATTTTCATAGATGGGTATACTTTTTCAGGAAGGTCAGCTGGGGGGCAGAAAAGAGGAGGTTTTATTTTTTATATATATATATATATATATATATATATATATGTATGTATGTATGTATGTATGTATATAAAGAAAATATATATGTGTTCTGAAGTGCAGTGCAAAGTGGGAAGTAGGCCTATTGAAAGTTTCAGATAAAGATCAGAGATGAGAGCAGTGGGGTGATGTCACAGTGGTCATTTGCTATAGGCATCCAAACCAGGAGGAAAGGGTGGATGAGGCCTCGTTTAAACAACTAACACAAATTTCACAGGACCTGGTTCTCATGGGGGACTGGAATTACTGGGACATTTGCTGGGAGGGTAACACAGAAATGCACAGTCAAAACATTCTTGACGCATATAGGGCATAACTTTTTGGCACAGCTGGTGAAGCCAACAGGGCGAGGGGGGAGGGGGAAAGCTCTTCTCTATGTTTGTGGGCAGCAAATTGAGGAATTGATTGAAAATGTGAAGGTGGAAAGTAACTTGGGTAAGAATGACTAAGAAGTGATAGAGTCTAGGATCCTAAGTAAAGTGAAGGAAGAGCACCAGAAAAATAAACACCGGACTTCAGAAAAACAGGCTTTAATAAGTTCAAGGTGAGGGTGTAATGAGGTATAGGGCTCAGGCTGAAACCAGCTGTGGAGGGTTTAGGGGATAACAGCCTACCTGTTTAAGAACACTAGCTCAGCTGACAGACGATGGGCTGGGCTCAGAGGAAGTTTAAAGCTCCCAGGAAGGGAAACCAGAGGGGGAAAGGAAACTGGTATTTAGGGGGGAAGCACAGGGACTGTGTTGCTCCTCCAGGTCTGAATGAAGACCAGAGGTTTGATTTCATTTGTTCATGGTACCTGTATTTCTTATGTTTGCTGTGATGAGAAGCTTTTTGTATAGATAACATGAGGACGGAGACTAAGAACTCACCAGTTTTATGAGGAAACAGGCACCTGAGTCTGCCTAAGGAAGTGTCAACCTGCTACAAAGGGGGAACGCTGTCTAGGAGAGGTGGTTGTACTTTAAGAAGGCTGTATTAAGGGTGCAGGAGCAAGGTATCCTGATGCAACAAAAGAACTGTAATGGACCAGCCTGGCTAAACAGCAATCTCTTCAATGAGCTGAAACGCAAAAACAAATCCTACAAAAGTGGAAACTTGGTCATATTACTAGGGAAATACAAAAATATCACAAAAATGTTCAGGGAGAAAATCAGGAAGGCTGAAGTATGATTTGAGATGCACCTAGCAAGGGATATAGAAGGCATTAAAAAGGGATTCTACAAGTATATCAGAACTAAGAGGAAGATCAAAGTATAGGTCCCTTACTAGCTGCAAAAGGCAATCTAATGATGGATTATGCAGTGAAGGCTGAAGTATTTAATGCCTTTTCTAACTTCAGTTTTTCACAAATAAAGTTAGCTGCTATATGATGAGTGCAGCTGGCAGCAAAGATAGCGAAGGAGGCAAACAGCCCAGAGTAGTGGAAGCAGGGGAAGATCCAGTGAAGTGCAGGGGATGTTGTTGCACCCCTTTTGCTGCATGGTACATGTACAGTGAGCTCTCTAACCTAACAGCGCAGCTCTAGAACACAGGGGATGGGGGAAGCTACGAACACTTGCTTCCCACCCGCCCAACCTGACATCAAATTTAGCAGCAGGGGGGAAATGGGGTGAGGGGCAGTGACATCAACATCCTCTGGGTTCCAGAACCACACTGATAAGTAATTGAGCCTAGAGCGTTTGCTGAACATGCACTGCACAGCTGAAGGAGGGGTATGGATACATACCCGCAGACTCCCCTAGATCCTCCCATGAGTGAAAGAATAGTTAGGGATTACTTAGAGTAGCTAGATGTTTTCAAGTTGTCAGTCCCAAACAGGATATGTGACAAAAGGTTTAAGTGGTCTAAGTTCTAGCTCACAGTTCTTGTGGGGAAACCTTAGGGAGTGGGGAAACACTGAGTGTCAACAGGCTTTGCATTAACGTTTCATATGCATGACGCTTAGATATCCTTTTCACCCAGGAGGAAATGGCAGGCTGGGTCTGTCAGCAGGACCCAGAGACTGCTTCCTGATTAGCAGGATCTGGGTTTTCCATTTCCCATGGAAAAACAGAGAAAACCACAGATTTCCCAACTTTATCAGAGGAAAATGGATTTTCCCTTATAGCAGAGATATGTGCGGATTTACCACTTTTGCAAAGAGCTCTGCAGACAGGCACAGTTTCAGCCTGCAAGTGCTGACTGCAGAAAGGGTGGGAAACCCGCAACCCTGCCAGGAGGCAGGGGCGGGGGAAGAGGGGAAAGGGCAGGGCCTGAGCCTCTCAGTCACTCAAGGCCTGGCTCAGGCTCATTGTTCATTCCTGGAGCCTAAGGTAAGTGGGGCTTGCAGGGGCCTGGGGGCCCCCTCTGCCAGGGCCTGAGGGTTGTGGGTCATGGCTGGGAGACACCGGCAGGGCTGGGGGGGCCTTGGGTGGCAGGTGTGGTTGTGGGTGACTGCCAGGGCTGGGAGAAGAGGGCCAGGTAAGGGGCAGGGCGTAGGTGCGTAGACTTACGGAGAAGGGAGGTGTTGGGGGAAGCCCCACATGGAGTGTACGCTAGTGGCATGCGGGTTGCTGTCAGCCCTTCAGGGAAGCCGCACAGGAAAGTGGAAAGCCTGTTCGGGCTGACAGCATGCTGCTCCTGGTCCATGCACTGCTGGGTGGGTGGGCACTCCATGTGGGGCTTTCCCTAACACCTCCCTGTTCCCTCAGCCCCCAGCCAGCTTCCTGCAGGAGTGCCTGCCCGCCCAGCGGCACACTAGTGGCCCAAGTGGGCTCTGCGCTTTCCTGTGTGGCTTCCCTGAAGGGCCAATAGCATGCCTGTCTGGGTCCACGTGCCACCGCCAACATGGAGTGCCCCACATGGAGACACTCCATGTCTTTCCCCAACACTTCCCCACTCCCTCAGCCCCCAGCCAGCTTCCCGCAGGAGTACCCGCCCGGACAGTGGCACATGGACTGGGAGCAGCGCGCTATCAGCCCTTCAGGGAAGCCACATGGGAATGCAGAGCCATCTTGGGCTGATAGCACGCCACTCCTGGTTCATGCGCCACCGAGTGAGCTCCGTGCTGCCCTGACGATGTACTTCCTGTGCGCTAGGCTGCAGCGAGACCAGCGGCACAGGGTTGTGCACCTCAAAGCAGCGGCATGCATAGGAGATACATCGCCAGGGCAGTGCTGAGCTCGCAGCAGCAAGCAGCTTCTCTGTGCAGCCCTGCTGTGCCCTGCCACACTGGGTTTTGCCCACTGGGCTGCAGAGGCCCCAGGGTAGGGAAGCAGGGTGGGAGTCCGAGCCCACAGCCCGTGCCTGGCCCGTGCCCTCCTACCCCACTTGGGAGTGCACACAGAGGTGAGGAGCCAGTGCCCCCCACCCCCCTGCAGCAGTGGGGAGAGGGGGCAGAGGGCTGCAGACCTGAGTCTCTGCTGCTCTGGCAGCTGGGGGCCTTCTCCTGCAGGGCTGGGGGAGCAGGGACTGTGGGTGGGGGACAAGGGACACCAGGAAGACTGTAAGGGGGGAAGTGAGAGGCACGAGCAGGGCGGAGGGGGCTTTGGGGAGCCTTTAATTTTAATCATGGATTTGGGGGGGTTTATGACAGGATTTGTGATTTATTTTTTCCAGAGAATTTATGATCTTATATCAGGGGAAACCAGGATCCCTGCTGATAAGTTCCCCATGACTCTGTTTCCTTATATTGTACGTGTCCCTATGTTAATACTATAGTTTCATAACTGTTTTGTCACAAGGGGGCTGACTGGGCCTGAGGAGAATGAATGAGGCTCAGAGAGCTAGAGGGAGAAAAAGGCTAATCTCAGAGCAGACAAGGAGAAAGCCCCAGGGTGGATAAAGTGGAGTCAAAGGAAGGACAGAGGGAATTGGAGTAGCACAATAAAAACTGCATTTTAAAGTCAAGTCTGCTGTACCGCTTGGGACATTTGCACTCTTACCCCTCCTCTTTAAAGAAGAAACCACCCCCTTCCTGACCGCTTACCAAAAACAAGGAGCACTTGGAGGTAGGGGTGCAGCAGATCACCGGTGAAGCAAGAGCCAAGGTCTCAAAGCCAGAGGCTTGCCCCTTGTGAAGTCATGCTAGGGCTGGTTGCAGGAGGTCCTCTCAGGAAAAGGAAACTATAAGGCTATTTCTCGGTGTGTCCTGAGACAGAGCTTTCCCCTTCCCTTCAAAAGGGGACATGTATGACAGGACACACCTTAAGAGTACTGAAGGAATTGGCTGAGGCAGTTTCAGAGCCATTGGCTATCACAGGAATGGGCAAAATATTGCCCACAGGCTGGATTCAGCCTGCCAGGCACTTTCATCCAGCTCGCGGTGCCCCCCAACAAATTGTGCCCCACCCAGCCCTTCCGCCTGTGGGGGTGGGAGTGAGGCGCCTACGCACGCTCCCCAACATACCCTATTATGCCTGGCTCCAACCCTCATGGGCAGAAGGGCCCAGCCCCGCTAGCACTGGGTGGGGCTGCTACAGGCTTCCCCATGTCCTAGTCCAGTGAGGGTGGGGGTGGTGCTGCAGCTGAGCGGGAGTGTGGAGCATAGGGCTGGGGCTGGCAGCAGTGCAGAGCCTGGCTGGGCAGGCTGTGGGTTTGAGGGGGGATGGGGACCCCTCCTACACCCCCCACCACCCAGGCAGACAGCGGGCAGGGAGGGCACTCTGCTCGGCACTGGTGCTTGACTCCTGGCTCTGGCCAGCACTGTGAGGAGCACAGCCCTGCTGGGCCGTTTGTTTCCCAGGCACTCCCCACACTGGCAGGACACAGGAGGGAAGCCCCAGGCACTGGAGTGGGCTGGGGTGGGGAAAGCAGCCAGCTCCAGCGCCTGGGGCTTCCCTCCTGTGCCCCACCAGTGCAGGGAAACAAACAGCCCAGTAGGGGTTGTACTCCTCGCATTTCATTTGTGCATCTCAGCTGAGTGAGTGGCATGTCAGGGAATTTCCTGGCCTGATAGAACTTGTTTCGTAGTCTAACTTAATATACTGGTATTTTATTTAAAAGAACAAAATATTGAGACTTTCATTTTAGGGGCATATCATTTCTATGGGAACCCTGGAGAACACTTAAATACCTCAGCCATAGGAGCTTACAACTAGCACACAACTGAAGTGTCCATAACTGAGGTTAAGTCCCTGGAAATACTTGACTTTCAAAATAACTATGATTTATACCAGAGGTTAATATCTGATAGTTCCTTGGCTGTCTTAGTGATAGGACTATTGGCCTCACTCCGGTTCCTAATGAACTGACTATTCATATCACAAACCCATCACAAATGGCAGACTAATGTGGAGTAATATGGAAACTGAATACCCACTTCCACAAAAAAGGAAGACCTTTCTGGGAGTCAAGGTGGCAGGAAGGTTGCATCCTCCTTCTCATACTTGCACACAATAAGAAATGGGGCTAGTTTCTGCGCTAAAGGAAATGCCTCTCCCCCAGAGTAATCAGTGTCCCTGGTCAGAGCATTTTAATCCAGTCCAGCTCTACTACCCTTCCTCCCCCCATATCCAGCACTTACCTATAGATGGCAAATCTCAATGGTCTACTCAGGTCCAGGCTTTTGGGTGACTCTGGCTCTTTTTGGCTTCTCTCAATGACCTGTGATAGGAGACTCCCAAGCGCTGACAAAACAGCACTGCAGATGGAGGGAAAAGGGATGTGATCAGGCAGCTACACAAAGAGATAACCCTCAATCAAAGCAAGACCCTAAGCTCTAAGCACAGTCAATGGACAGGAGAGCAGTAGGTCCAGTTACACCATGTAGACCAGGATGGGATGGCTCAGCAAGAGGCAAAGTGACCTGATGCAATCTTACTTGCTTAAAAAGTATTAGACTCCCAGCATGCTCACAACAAGCCAACCAAAGAATGGAGGTGGAAGGAAGAGAACCTGCATTTTTCATATTGTTTATGAACCTGCACTCCTCACCAGCTCACGCCTTGCAACCTGTGCCTTAGTAAAATGTTCCTGGCAGCTAACTGACTTCCACAGATTTTTTTCTTCTCCCTATTAAAGCTCATAGTCCTTATAGCTATGCAGAAAACATCCCCTGGATATGACCCTGTGTGGTACAGTCTTTCAAAGAACCCAAAACAATCATTTAGAGGTATGTCTTGCCAATATTTATTTCAGTTAGGTGTTGACCCTAAGACTACCAAGAGAAATCAGGTAGCAGTTCATTGCAAATCATTTTAACGGCAATATCTAGTGAGTTTATTTCTGTAATGTACTGGTGCCATGAAAAACAGAAATCGGAGAGACTTACCAGGTGAAGTTATCTAGGACCCAGGGCAGGGGTAGGTAACCCCAGCATGTGTGCCAGGCACACAAAGGCATTTTGCTTGGCACTCGCACCTTGGGGAAGAGGCTGGGACTGCACTGCCATGACAAGGATTGGGCCCCTCATGGTTCCCCTGCTAGCTGCCCCTGGCATGCCAACATCTTACAAGTTAAGGTTGCAGGTACTTTTGGCACTCTGCCTAAAAACATTGCCCACCCCTGCTCTAGAGCCACATGAGGACTGTTCACTACAGCTCTCAAGTGCTTCAGCCAACATAGTTTAAAACAGCGAAGGACAGAAGTCAATCCAACAACCCAACAATCTCACTATTAGCCAAATCTACCTGACTTTAACCAAAAATCTCCCTTCTCATTCTCATTCTCTAACTCTTGGGTGTAACTTGGTGCTTGATATGAAGCACTAGGGAACACAGACAGGTAAAACAGCAGCCGTTCCACAGAGGAGAAGGAACCATTGATGAGGCAGGAGCAGAGTTCCAGCACTTTTCCTGGGTCCTCCCTTACTTGAACCCTGCTTGTATGAAAGATAAGATCTGTTGGTTTGCCACTGGGTGGAGGGACAGCAGGTAAGATCATATACTATTATCCAATGACTCCACATGGATTGGCCAAGGCAGACGATGCTTAAACAGATGAGACTCATAGTTTGTTTATTTATTTATTATTTGATTTAAATATGCCCTCCCTAAAAAAGGCTCAGGGCAGCTTACAATAAAAACAAGATAATTTATAAAACCACAATAAAAAGATTTAAGTAAAAGACTAGATAATAAAATAACTCCCCAAACAATAACCCAGAATTTAACCCTGCTTAAATAAGGTCTTACACCATTCCCAAAAGATATCCAGGCTTGAACTCTGACAGGCCGAGAGAGAGAGAGAATCCTAAGGCTGAGCAGCAAGTACTCAGAACAACCTCCTATATATTTTCACTGAATAAACCTGATGTACAGGTGGCATTTGAAGAAGGTTCCTCTCAGCTGACCTTAGGGATTGCAATGGAACATGAAGGAGGAAGCAGTCCCTTGGATATGTGGGGCCCAAGCCATTTAGGGCTTTATAAAACAAATCCAGCATCTCAAATTGCACCCTGAAACTACTGAGCGCCAGTGCAGCTTCTGAAGCACTGGAGTAACGTGGTCCTGCAACCCACCCTCAGTCAGAATGCAGGCCACCCCATTCTGAACCAGTCGCAGCTTCTGGACAATCAAAGACAGCCCCCATAGAGCACGTTGCAGTAACCTGGCCCTGAGGTTATGAAAGCATGGATGATGCTGGCCAGAGGTAACTCTGAAAGAAAGGGTCGCAGCCTTCTCACTTGATAAAGTTGGTGAAAGGTGCTCCTAGCTACTGCCAGAATCTGAGATTCCAGGTGTGACAAAGGAACCAGGAGCACCACCAGGCTGCAAATCTGAGTGACAAGGGGAGGCTGTACTCCAGTGATACATTAGCATTAAGTGATTTTTTTTGAGTACGAGCTGAACAACTGCAGACTTAAGAACACCTGGCAACCTACAAGTCCTAAATGGACGCACTTACAACCTCCATCGCAATGGCCCCAATCTTCCCTAGCTATTTTTCACAAGCCAGGATGGGTATGGATCAGGTCACAACTGGTCACCTGGGTTTCCCCAAACATAACCTCAGCAGTTAAACTGGCAGCCCCCAAACTGTACTGGAAGTGAGTGATTTTGTCTGCAAAGTAGGTGGCAAACTTGTCACAGGGGACTATGAATGATTTCATTTCCAGTTGGATACAATCCAGATTTACCAGGCTGTTCATGGATTCATAGATTGTAAGGCAGGAAGAGACCTTGGAAGATCATTGGGTCCAGCCCCCTGCACCAAGCAGAAAAGATAACCGGGGGTCAGGTGACCTGATCAAGGTGACCATCTAATCTCCTCTTGAAGATTTTCAGGGTAAGTGATTGCACCACCTCTGGAGGGAGATTATTCCACAGTCTGGACACCCTGACTCTGAAGAAGTTTTTCCTAATGTTGAGCCTGAAACGGGCTTCCAGGAGTTTGTAGCCATTACTCCTAGTTTTCCCCTCGGATGCCCTGGTGAATAGTTGCTCACCAAGCCCTTGATGTACTCCCCTAGTGTAGCAGTAAGCGCTACCAGGTCTCCTGTCAGCCTTCCTTTCTTCAGACTGAAGAGTCCCAGATCCCTCAGCATTTCCTCATATGGTTTGCCGTGTAAGACTCTGACATACAGGTGACTCTTTTTTGGACTCTCTCAAACTTGTCCATGTCCTTATTAAAGTGTGGTGCCCAGAACTGGATGCAGTACTCCAGCTCTGGTCTCACCAGTGCTGAGTACAGCGGAAGAGTCACCTCCTTGGTTTTGCTGGAGATGCATCAATTGCTATAGCATCACACTGCTGTTCACCCCCAATAAATAGTTCCTCTGGACACCACCTTGAAGCTGCAATGGTAGTGGAAAAGAAAAGATTCTTCACCACGACCATTCCCATGACATAGTCCTTTACAAAGGATCTGTGCTCCAATCGGTTAGCTTTGGCACTGGTTAAGAGCCACCTGCGCTCTTAACTGCCTGCTCTCCCACTTCAGCCACCTCCACTTCCCCGATAACAGGGGGGTCTGTAATGCTACAGTGGTGGGAGCAACTACGTGGGTGAAGGTCAGTATGCTAATCCACAATTTGACCAGGCCATCAACAGAGTAGCCATCATAGTCAGTGGGAATATTTCCCAAAGAATTTTGGAAACCCAGTGGCTCTGGATATTTGCGTGTGGACAAACCTAGATGGTCTACCACCCTGATAGTGAAGTTATGCTGGTTTAGGGATTAGCATGATCTGGCCTCTCTTTTTACACCATTGTAATGGCAATTTTACCAGTGAAAATGTGCTGTGTTTCTAGACCCATGCTTGTGAAATTGGCAGCTTGCCATTTTATAGCTCTCAGAAAAACAAGTAATTTACAGAACAATGCTGCTTTCATGGTTAAACATGGTTAAAACAAGCGTTGAATCTGGTCCCAACTGTCAAGACCCCTGAGGTTTCAACCCAGATCTTCCAGGCTTTTGGGCAGAGGCCTGGGCTGCAGTACCACCAAGCAGCTGGCTGAGCACTGGACCAAGCCCAGCTTGGACCCTCCCATGAGGGTCCCAATGGGAGATAATGTGACCCAGGGGAACCAATTGAAGCCAAAACTTCTTGAAGGGAGAGCTAAAACACCCTCCCACTTCCCTCAAAGCCTTGTCCCAACAAAAGTGTTAGTAGCCTTGTTATCTGGAACCCTTCATGCCTTGCTCCTATCTTGCCTCTTCCTCTGACCCTCCAGCCTTGTCCCTGCCTCATCTGTGCCTTGGTCTCCAGTAACTCACTCCTACTTATTCTGTTGTGTGTTTTGGACTCCCTAACTCCTGAACCCCAAATCATCTTGACCACAGACTCGGACTGACACCAGATACTGTGACCCTTGGTTTCTGGAAGTCTGGTATCATGGACTTTTGGCTGTTGACCCTGACCCCCCATGTCCAGGTCATAATTGTGAAACCAACATGTACCAGTCACAACTGCAGGTTTTAAGACAAGACTCATTTAATGCTGCTCCAGAAGGCAAAACCAGGTAAGGGTAGCAAGTTGAATGGTATTCTTTCTTAGGTGTGGTTAACCAAGTAGTTTGCTATATACAAGCCATAGGCGCTGGCTTATCTTTGCAGGGGGTGAAGAATGACCTAAGAAGCTGCAACACCCCGGGAAGCATGGCTGGAGCAGAGCTGAGTGGAGCCTGTGGGATGGTGGGTGTAGGGGCAGGTTGTCTCCCGCAGGCTAGGGGTTCCCTGCCCTGCTGGCCACCGACTGGGAGCCCTGCCCTGGCCACACTGCCATGGCAAGGCACCCCCTGCCCACCTGACAGGAGCAGGGGACACAACTCTGCGCCACCACCCCTGCTCCTGCCAGGTGGGCAAGGGTCACCTCACCATGGTGGTGCAGCCAGTGCAGGGCTCCCAGGTGGCGAACCCAGAAGCGTACTCCCAGAAGCGTACCGGGAGTGAGGCAGGGTTTGCAGCCGGGCTGGGGCAGTGCCTGGGGTGGGGTCAGGAATGTGCAGCCATGGGGCCCGGCTAGGCAGTGGGATGGAGCCAAAAGTCGCTTGTTGGGGGAGAGCTAGCTTCTCAGTGTTGCATGCACTCCTGGGGAAGGGTCAGGCACCAGAGGCAATGCACGGGGGGGCACATGCTCCCCCAGATTTCTGCACCTACAGCAGGGCACAGGGCTGCAGCCTGGCTGGACTGGCACGAGACAGGAGTTGCCTCTGCAGTCCAGTGGGCAGGACCCAGTACAGGACAGCAGAGCAGGGCAGAGAAACCTGTTGTTGCTACCACTGCCACAGCGAGTCCTGCACCAGCTGTACCACCATAGTGAGGCACACCCTACCTGCCACCACAGGGGTGGGGGGGGGCAGTGTGCAAGCCACCCCCACTGCAGCAGTAGGCAGAGGACGCCTCACCTTTGCAACCATGGTGGCGCAGCTGGCACAGAGCTTGCAAAGGCAGTGACAGCAGCAGCAACAAGTCTCACTGCCCCACTCTGCCCTCCTGCACTGGGTCCTGCCCACTAGGCCATGGAGATAGCTGCTGCCCCATGGCAGTCCAGCCAGGATGCAGCCCCACAGTCCACACCCTGCTATGGGAGCAAAAAATTGTGGGGGGGGACATGACCCCACATGTGCCTGACACATCACTTATGGTCGGGAACCGCCCTGCTCCACACCACACAGATGGGCTGGGACTTGGCAGCACGGGGCAGCAAATCAGGAATGAGTGACATCAGCAGGGCTGGGGGCATGGGGAGGAGCTATGATCAGGAGTGAGGGGCACTGGCAGGGCCAGGGGGCTGTGGGTCAGAAGTAAGGTGCACCAGTAGAGTTGGGGGAGCATTTGAGGCCCGCATGCTCGTGAACAAAAGGGGCAGGGGGAGCTCTGATTTTCCATGAAAAAAAAAAACAAACCCCAACCAAAACCAAATGCCAAAATATATAGGTATTTAGAATGTATTTTATTATAGTGACTGAGGCACTGGTAGGTTTCAAATTGCTTTAAAGTTGTAAATATATCAATAAAACATTGTCTTCAACTGATACCTATAAGTATTCCCAAAATATACCTATAAGTATATATACTTGTATATGTATAAGCACGCGCGCACACACACGCGCGCGCACACACACATTAGTGGCATTTCATTTTAATTGTGGAAAAGCACAGATTTGGGGTTTTTAAATCAGAGAATTTGGGATTTTTTTAATCGGAGAAAACCAGGATCCCTGCCTATCAGCCAAAGAGCAGCTCCAAGAGGAGCAGAGCAAGTTTCTCTTACTCTCTCAACATGCTTCTTCCATGCTCTGGTAGGCCCCCCGGGTACTGTGGGCACCTATTTGATATTGGGCCTTTGCTAGCAATAATTAGTGCTGGCTGATTTCAATGAAGAGCTAGCAAGATCACCCGCTGCCCAATGCCCCTGGACTGCAGCAGTTCCTCCTGGCTTCTGGCTCTGGTCAGCTTGGCTTGAAAACTAACGCAAAGAGGAAGCAGACGGAGCCCTCCCTGGATCCCGCCTCCCCCTGGGAGCCGAACACTCCCTTTCCCTCCTGGGTCCTTGGACTCACTCCTCTGAGGGCCAGCGGGCGCTGTCCGGTGCGCTCTGCTTGGTGTCCCTGCTTGGCACTGTTGCACTCCCATCCCAGTTTGTTTTTATTATCTGTCCCAAGAACTCTGTTGTGCCCTTTTCCCGTAGCCTCCCCACCTACAGGAGGTCAATGAGAAACCTGGTGGGCTGGGCCCACACTTAACGGGTGACAAATAGGCCTTCCCCCCCGGGGCCACTGCTCCACCACAACTGTCCGAGAGCCTCAGCCGAGTCAGTCGGTACAAAGCAGCTGCTGCTCCAGGAGCCCGCGGCAGCCTGGCAGGGGCACGCGCTGCAGCGGGGACTTTGCCTGGCACCTGCCCGTCCCGCCACTCGCCGCCCCTGCTCCCCCGGGGACGGGCAGCAGAAGCGTGCCCGGGCGGCGCAGGAGAGCGCGGGCTGCTGCTGCCCGGGGGCGGGGCACCCGGGAGGGTAGCCGGGGCGGAGGGATGCC